GATTCAGTAACTGAGTCATTCTTAATTTAATAACAGTCATTCTTGATCCAGTAACTGAGTCATTCTTAATTTAATAACTGAGTCATTCTTGATTCAATAACTGAGTCATTCTTGATTCAATAACTGAGTCATTCTTGATTCAGTAACTGTCATTCTTAATTTAATAACTGAGTCATTCTTGATTCAGTAACTTAGTCGTTCTTCATCCAATAACTGAGTCATTCTTCAGTTTACATAGATGAAGAGACGGCAGCCATTGAATGCATCACACCGTCCCTCTGCAGACTGTTCATGGTGCAACCTCCCCACCTGAAAACTGATGGATAAACAACCGAGATTTCCCACAACACTATAGAGTGATGGGCTCCAGGTGACCTTTGACCCTTACCAGGAGGCTTAAAGGGATTTATTTTGTGGCTGAGCGTGCCTCTGAGTGTAAAGCTGCTGGTGAAACCCAAGAAGACGATGGTAAACTGAAGCCAACAGTCAGACTGAAGGTGTTAAAGCTGAAAGGTCCAGGTTAGACCCACAAACTGCTTCCTGTTTCAGGGTCCACTGTTTCTCCTGGAGTGCAGACAGACTGTGTCTGGGTGACCTTTGACCTCTACTCCTGTTTTTGTTTTTTTATTTTTCATCGAGTTCAACAAACGAAGAGGAAACATTTATTTAGTAGTTTATTGTTTCAGCAGCTGGAAGGAACATCAAGTCCCCACAGGTCTCACCCTCCTCTTCCTCCTCCTAATAGGAGCAGGTGACCTCACGCCGACCTCACTCTGGTTCCTGGAGAGCTGCCGGTGTGGATCCGGGCCGGCGGGTTCAGGACTGTGAGAGGTTTTGACAGATTGAGGGTTCAGGAGGAGAAAACCCATCAAGAACAACAAATAAACTGGAAACAGGAAGATTTTAACTCTGTTTCCTGACCCGTCTGGGTCTCATCAGAAACAGGAACCTGGTTAAATCAGGAGGTTCTGAAGGGAATAAGTTCTGTTGCTTTAACAGAAAATCAATAACTAAAGCCACAATAATTCATTTTCATCCTGTTGGCACGTGACGTTCAAGTGTCTGTGAATATTTCTGAACACCGGCTGAGTTGTCATGAATAAATTCATTCATTCATTCAACCTTTATTTAGACAAGTTAATCCCACTGAGCCTCGGGGACGCATTTACAAGAGACAATAAATAAATAAAAAGTTATTCTAACAAACTGAAGAGGCAGAAAATTACACCAATACCAAATTGACGAATAATGTTAAAGATTTTAAGTTGTTGCTTTAATTTTGGTTCAGAAACAACTAAAAGTTTTTTTCTTTCATTTTTTTGGACCGAGCCGCACCAGAACTCAGAGTCAGAGTTTCTTTATTGTCATTCGCACCACATGTGGTACATGTGGTGGAGCGAAATTATGTACACAGGGTCCCAGTTACATCCAACAATAAAATGTATAAGAAAAACAGTAATAACATCTAAGATATGAACTAAGAAAAACATCAACTAAATATACACTAAGCACTCATAACATAAAA